GGACACGCGTGTGCGCGAGGGGAGGGGGCGGCGGGGAGGGGCCGACCCCCGTCGCCGCTGCGCACCCGCCGCGAGAGACGGGGATTTTTATTCTTAAATTTTTTTTTTTTTTGGAGGGGGGTCCGTTTTCCATTTGAGAGGGAATAAGCATTTCTGAAGGGTTTTTAAATTCACCCACTCGCCGCTCCCGTCGTCTCTGTGCAGGAGCATCAATCATGTCTGCTCGGGAGCAGCAGCAGGCGCAGCCCCCCCTGGCCGCCCCCCCGGAGGCTGGAGAGCTGGACGCCGGCAACAGATACGAAGCGGTTGTTCCCCACTGGTTTTACTGCAAGGTCACGGACTCCAGAGAGCGCTGGGTCCCTTTCAGCACGCAGGATTCGGAGAGGCTGGAAGAGGCTCACGGCTCAGGTAGGGTGAGAACACCCTGGGGAGGGGGCTGCCCCCCCCCCCGCAGATGGAACTCCATCCACCTCCACGGGTCGGACGGGGGATTTCACAGCACTGCTTGCCTTCAGCTCCCATCGTTCTTAAATCCCCCTGTGATTTTAAATACCTAGCCCCTGCTCTTAAAATCGCTGTAAGGAACCAGCCTGGTAACGTCAATGGGAGAGCATCAGGTGTGCGCTCAGGGGAAGCACCATCCGGGTATCAGAGGGAAATTCCCTGGACACATCCACAGCTTCTGCCTGGGATGCACAATTTTCCCTCGGGGAATTTTAAATCGGGACTTTTTTTGGCAATGCGCCTACTCCTAGAGCTGTAGACGCATGAACAACTGAACTGTTTGGGTGCATCGAATGGTCTGACCTCATTCATTTGATATATGCTCTAAATTATATATAATCGTACTGCAAAGCACCCTTCTGGGGTGGACAGGAGAGTGCTAGCAGGACGGCAGAAATTCCACTGGGGAGATTTCCCTCGTGTGGACACATGGTGCTCTGCCTGCCTGCTCCCGGAGCGTGCTGCCCAGGCAGCCGGGTCTGCTCTGAGCGGCACTGCTTGCGATGAGGCCCTCGTGCTGCCAAATATCGACAGTCTGTGCAGCCCCCGCTGCCAGGATGGTGCTTAAAGCACCGCTGCTGCCGACGGCTGTGGGCACAGCACCAATTGCCCTGGGGTTGCTCCCGTCCTCCCTCTCCCAGGAAGCTTCGGATTAGAGGCCGTGCCGCCGGTCCTCAGTGCCGCAGCCGAGCCGAGCACAGCCTGGCACGGGGCGGTCTGCCGGGAGCCTGGCCAGCGGGCAGACCCAAAAGGCGGCAGAACAAACAGAATTTGAAGTCTGTATTGGGATCTATGCGGAGTTCTCCGTTTTAGAGGGGAGTGGCTTACAGACCTGGAGACCAGCACCTCCACCGTTAAGCAATGCAGGCCACAAATTCACGTTTTACCAGCTAAGCAAGGCAGGAAGAGTTCACGTAAGCCTGGGCCTGAACTAGAGAGGAAGACAGTTGTAGTTTAATGCCTTCATCTTACCTTCTGCCTCTGGGGAAAGTTTGACTTGCGGCATCTCTCCTAGGATGGCCACCGACGCTGTTCTCTGTGCTTGGGTACGGAGAACATTGGTGTCTACTGCCATTGCTCATACGTGCTCGTGTGCGCTGCCCACAGAAGATGCTCCAGTCTCATCCCTCTGTTCTAGTGTGGTATACAGCTTTCTGGTAGCATGCCTTTCTGGTCCTCTCATGATTAATTTCGAGCCTTGGTTCCTTCAGGGAGAGACAATGAAGACCTGGTTGTCCCAACATCGGGGGGTAGGTATGACGTGCATCTGAAGAAGAGGCAGCGCGTTGCAGTGTACTGGGAGGAGGAGGTATCTGAAGTGCGTCGCTGCACCTGGTTTTACAAGGGAGACAAGGACAATAAGTATATTCCGTACTCGGAGACCTTCAGCAAAGAACTGGAGGTAATACACGCCTTTCCTGGTAGCGTCCACCTTGCCGAGAAGCATCTTGGCTTCTCATTGTCAAATACTGGCCCTGATGTCCCAAACTCCATATGGGGCGACTGGCACTACAGTCACGCCTGAGGACATGAACTCGAAAGAGGCTTTGGCATGGCGTTTTCGCAGCTGATTAACATAACTGTAAACACTGCCACTGTCTCCCTCCCAGCCTGCTGCAGCTGGGCGGCTTTCCCTTCCTCCTGCCCTCATCCAGCCGTGTCGGCATCCTTCTGCTACACGTTTAAGTGCCCGGGTGCTCTCGGCATGCCAGGTTGCTCTGGCCTTGCTTGCAGCCTCGCTCTAGCAGCTTTGCTCTGTTTTTTTCCTGACCCTGTCTGCTCTGACTTCAGTTTGACTCTCCTTGTGAGAATCATCCTCACTACGCTCATAGTTTCACCAAAGCCAAGGGAGTTGCAAATGCAAGAAAGAGAAATCATCGTTATGGGGACCCAGCGTTAGACTTCAGTGGTCTGTATTGTTAATGGCTGGAGACTTTGGAAAGATATATATGTAGAGCTATATAGATATATGTATAAAAATATACATCTTTACAATAACCTGTATTCTGATATACCAAAAAATACAATTCTAAATTGATGGGGAAGTCTGCTGCTGCTATTAAAGTGGGGGCTTCTTGGAAACTCTCTAGCAAGCGATACTCAGATGACCCTGTTGCTCCTCCAGCCTGACCTGGCTGATTTCTCTGCCTCTTTTGCAAAATGTGTTGATAAGAGATACCATAAAATGGGTGGGGAAATCCCAAGTGGTTGAATATTCATGGAAATACAGCTGACTCACACAGGGTGTTCTTTTCCTTAGGAAGCTTACATGATTGCTGTGACCCTGGATGAGTGGAAGAAGAAACTGGAGTCCCCTAGCAGAGAAATCATTATCTTGCACAACCCAAAGGTGAGGAGGGCCTGGTAATCTTTGTGTTGACCAGCAAGGATATCCCTTCAGTTCTCTTGACAGCCTGTCTTTATACTCTGGCTTTACGCTGTTTCTTTTAACCGTGTCTGCTGAGAAATTGATTCTGTCCAAATGGCATTCCCCTCGCCTACCTGCGCCAGAGTAGAGGGCAACGCTAGCAGAGAGTCTGCTTTACACCTTAACGTTTCTTTTCAACACGCCTTTCACTCTCTTTGTGCAAAGGGCTCGTACCAGCGCAGTTAAACATTGTGGTCTGGTGTCACCCCATATCACTTACCAGCTGTTGTAGCAAAATTTCTCCTCTGCTTAACTATGGTATGCAGCGCAGCTTAATGACAGGCTCTTCTTGTTTACAAGCTGATGGTGCACTACCATCCAGTTGCCACCTCCGATGACTGGGGCTCAACTCCTACGGAACAAGGTCGGCCTCGGACTGTGAAGAGAGGAGTAGAAAACATCGCTGTCGAGATCCCCAATGGTGAGCTCACTTCTCCCTCCCCTCCACCCATCCAAAGCTACAGAGTCTGTTTTCCAACCTGTTTTCTCAAAAAGACAGAAGCTTCCATGATCCTTTTAACAAAGGACACATCTAAAAATTTTGTGCTGAAAGGAAATGAATGGTTTTCAAAAACTTTCCTAGCACCAGAGAGACGGTAGCGTAAATGAATGTGTGGAGGAGGCAGACATATGCAGTGCGCTTCCAGCTCCTGCACTGAGACCAGACCTGTTGAAGGCACTGCAGTGCCTGAAATTACCCCTGAGGTTTTGGCATGTATGTTCACAAAGGAAGAGTTTCTTTCTGTGGTAGGGACACCTACATGCAGGTGACTTTCTGGTGCACGTGCTCTCCCCATCTCTGAAGCTGTGCATCAGCTCTGCCCCCTCCCAGCTGTCCCTGAGCTCCCGGTCAGGCCTCAGGACTTGTCCCTGTGGTGAGGACAGGCAGTTACTCCTGTCTAACCCCTTCATTTTCCATGCGTGCATGCCTTCAGGAAAGTATGTATGCAAACTACAGTGTGTGGGAAGTAGAGAACAAGACATAACTCCACCTGGTGCCTACCTGAGAGATGGAGCTACGCGTGGGCCGGGTGGCTCAGCAAAGTGGGTTGGGCACAGGGAAGATGGACCGAGTCCTCCTGGTCCTGCTGAACGTGCCCCACAGCCCGGTGGGTGTGAATTGTGAAGACGAGCCACTCCTGCTGAAGCGAGGATGGTGATAGAAGGAGGGGACGAGCCGCCTCACCTTCCTCTACTGTCCTGTCAATCTGGATCCATCTCAGGGCAGGCAGCTGAATTTAGCAGGACAAACAGTTCAGAAACGTGAGAAATCCCACTACCCTTTAGGCATAAAATCCAGGCACTAACTCAAGGGTTTTTTACCTGGCTGAGGTGAAGAGGGGAGGCTCCACTCTCCTGCAGAGCATATGGTTTCAGCAGGTCACTTCCCCATTAAGTGATGTCTCCCACAGGGCCTGTGCTCTGAACTCTTCTTTCCTCCTTAGGAGAGCCACTGCAAATTGATCACCTGGTTTTCGTGGTGCACGGGATCGGCCCAGCTTGCGACATTCGGTTCAGGAGCATCGTCCAGTGTGGTAAGTGTGGAGCCCGGCTGGGGTGCTCTTTCCATATGCTGCTTTTAGCGGAGCCAGTAAACTCTCATCTGTGTGGACAATGTGAAACGCTGTGAGAGTGCATTCAAACCATTCCAACACTCACGTTGGCAAGCTGCACGGTTGAATTTGCTGACTGCAGTGGGGAGCATGAATGCAATGCTCGCTAACCCATTAAATCCTACCATCTGGAAAGGTTTGGGCAACCACTTTTCATCACTGTGTTCTGCTGCTGCTCAAAATAGCGAGTTTCCTGAACTGGATACAGATTTTCCAAGTAACTGTCTAAACCTGCTAAACTAATTAGGAACCTGCTTAGTCTATTGCTATGGGTTAATCTCACTGGGTGAAGTCTAACAGGCAACACCCCATCCAGCAGCCTCTGGAGTGATTTTGGACCAAAACCAGGGATGCTGCTTCTGGCTTAAGAAATCCCCAAGCTGCAAATGCCTGGAGGTTAGGAGAGCATGTGAGAAGTATTGCTGGTCTTACACACTCCTCTAAGCACCCACTGTTGATCAATATTGGAGACAGGGTACTAAACCAAGTAACTCTGGTCTGACCTGTTCATTATTATTTGCTCAGAGTGCTTCAGTTCTGTAGGAGAGGTGATCGCTGAAACTGCCTGGAAGCCCAACATGATTTAACTTGTAGAAATCAAGGGAGCTGAGATTTTTCACAGTAGACTGTCTTTAGTTCCTATAAAATATACCTCTGCTTTAACGCAGTCTATTCTTCTCCATGTTCATCTGCTGAAACTATTTTCAAGGCTGCTGACCATCTGAAATGAAAGAAGTAAGCTTTTCTCCCTCAGAACTGAATAATTTCAAGTTCATCTCCTCCCTTAGGATTGCCTTTCTAACACGTGTATCTTTGCAACAGATTTTTTTTTTAAATACCTTAAAGTACCTTTCTTACCCTGACTGGTGTGTTAAAGTACCTTTCTTATCCTGACTGGTGTGTTAAAGTACCTTTCTTATCCTGACTGCTGTGTTAAAGCCCTGCCCATGCAGAAAAGAGGCTTGTTACAGATGGGACAGCAAAATCCAGTAAACACACGTGTAAGGACATGGAGCCTTCCCCTGATCTTGTAGTTAAAGATTCAAGGTCTTAGGGTAGCAGCAGCAGATTAAAGACCCTGGTGGGATTTCCCCTGGTAATGATCTTTTCTTTTATCTTATTAAGTGTTGTTGATGCAGCAGGCTTGCCCTGTAGCCCAGTGGATCTTGGTAAGAGTTCATGCTCTTTTCCAGTGAATGACTTCAGGAATGTTTCCCTGAGCATGCTGCAAGCACACTTCAAGAAAGCCCAGGAGCAGCAGCAGATCGGCCGGGTGGAGTTCCTACCTGTGAACTGGCACAGCTCCCTCCACTCCACCGGGGTGGATGTGTAAGTGTCCCAGACAGCCATCTCCTCCGGTGCTGGTGTCCATGGGAATGGCAAAGCAGACAGACAGCCTCCTCTGCTTTTTCTGGTGGCCACTGCAGGCAAAGGGAAAGCTGTGAGTGCTTAGGGCTGTGAGCACACAGGGGTAAGCAGAACGGATGGGGTCCCACAGAGCACCTCTGTGCCAGACCCCGTCCCCACCGACTTTTTGCAGCCCTATTTTGCGGAGCACAGCAGATGCCTGCTCTGATCAGCATCCAGCTGGAGAGGAGAGGCTTCTGCCTTTCCCTGGCTAATATGAGGAGGGACCGTGGACATCCATACCTTGCTAAAGGCCTCTGGAAACAGTACCGTGTTTCTGCACTCAAGCACTGCTCTGCAGTGCCCTAGAAAGGGGAGAGAGCAGGTTAGGCTCCTGGGAAGAAAGGCCAGGCTCCTTATTCCTGCCTGGAGTGTAAGAGCACAGGCCATGCTCTACCTTCGGTCTTGGCATGAGCTGAGGGTCTAGATTACGACATTATGTCCTTTGAGACGGTGGCAATCCTTCTCTGAACTTACGTTTTGCTTTAGAAACGTGGTGGGGTTCACCGGCACCCCTAACTGCAACTCCCTCTCTCCTCTTTCCCTCCCACAGTGACCTGGAGCGAATCACTTTGCCGAGCATCAACCGCCTGCGTCACTTCATCAACGACACCATCCTGGACGTTTTCTTTTACAACAGCTCCACCTATTGCCAGACCATCGTGGACACGGTGGCATCCGAAATGAACCGCCTGTACCAGCTCTTCCTGACGAGGAACCCACTCTTCAAAGGGGGGGTCTCCATTGCGGGGCACAGCTTGGGTACGGGGTTTCATCCACGGGTTCCATGAATGTCACCGTACCGTGGGAGCAGGGAGGGTACTGGTCTTTTGTCCCAGAAAGGAGATGGCTTGGGGCTTTTCCCTGACGAGATGCTGATGCTCTGCCTGCCTGTGCCTGGTTTCTAGGGTCACTCATTTTGTTTGACCTCCTGACGAACCAGAAGGCTGCTCCCGAGGAGGATGAGAACAAAGAAGAGGTACATGCTCTCCGGCGGTGCCTGGACCCATGGGGTACTCCCACAGCACTTGCATGAGTAGCTGTGGCGGTGCAGCATCGCACCGACCTCCTGCTTCTGCTTGGGGAAGGGGGAAAGACTCCAAAACGCGCAGGAGAAAATAGGTGAGCAAAAAGCATGATCCCTCATGGCTCTATTCACAGGGGTCCAGGACAACCTCAAGCAACAGGGGTATTGAGGAAGTAAGAGAAATCCTGAAGAAGCTGGAGCTGTCTGAATATTGTGAAGTTTTTGAGAAAGAAAAAATGGACAGGCAAGCACTGGTAAGGAGCTCTCCTCTTTTGCTTTCTCTTGTGTTTCTTCTTTGCTTTTCTTCCCAGTCCTCCCACCCATTGCACATCTTCCTGGTACTGAGTCATTCGCACATGAAATGTCTCCGAGGAGTGCAGCAGGAACAGAATTACAAAGAACAGAAATACCTCACCACACACACACCTCTCTGCTCCTGTAGTAATATCTGGGTTGCTTACTTTCCAGTTCTTGTGCACAGAGAAAAACCTTAAAGAAATGGGAATTCCCTTAGGACCAAGAATGAAGATACTCCATTACATCAGCTCCAAAGAGGAGATGCAGGTTTGTCTTCTGCATGACTTGTATTCACCCAGGTCACATCCCGTTGCTCTCAGACAAGGACCAGCCTTCACCACTTACGATCAGTCCCCAAGCAACCCAACCTCCTCATTCCTGGCCATCCTTGCTCAGGCGGCTCACAGGCTTGTGTTTGGCAGTGGCGACAGAGCTGCTTGCTGCTCCTGCGTATTATGCTGGTGTTACGGGTGTTACCCTACTGCAGGATCAGTTTATCCCGTAGCCTGTAAGGGTGATCATAGAGCAGGAGGACTTGTTAGCGGTGGTAAAGACTGAACTTAAGTGATGACAGCTAGAGAGGTGGTCGGCTGGGGAAGGATGGTGCTGCCAAGACTGCTGTGGTTCTGGAGGATACGGGATGCTGGGCAGTTTGCTGCCTTGCATACTTGGTCATGGGTGGGTAGGATGGGCCATAGTATGGGCTCGCTGCAGGAGCTGTGCTAGCAGGGTTTCCCGGTTGTGTTGCTGCAGGACCAGAGCACAGCAGCTCCTGGACACAGCAGGGAACATGTTGCCGAGCCTGGGTCCCCATCACAGCATGACCCGGACAGCACAGACGATGCCAGGAATTGCCAATACCGAGACGTTGGCTTAGGACAGGTAACTACCGAGCTTGGCATCATGCTCTAACTCCAACAAGGCGCTCGTAATGCCAGCATGGAGTTTGTCTTGTGAAATAAATCTGAATCTTCCTCCCTCCTAGGTCTCGGCAAACTATCCTCAGCTAAACTACAAGCCCACCATCTTCTTTGCTTTTGGGTCTCCCATTGGGATGTTTCTCACGGTGCGAGGAGTGAAGCGGATTAACCCAAACTACAGCCTGCCCACCTGCAAAGGCTTCTTCAACATCTTCCACCCCGTAGGTATAAGAGCCAGAGCCTTCCTGCGTGAGAGGCATGGAGCACGAGCCCTGGCTCACTCTCCCCCTCCTCCGTACAGTTTGACCCAGTGGCATACAGGATCGAGCCCATGATTGTCCCAGATTTGGAGTTTGAGCCCATGCTGCTGCCTCACCACAAGGGCAGGAAGAGAATGCACCTAGGTAAGGGAATGGGCAGCCCCTCTCCCCCAGCCTGGGGCAGCTGCTGTGGCCCCCAGCCCGACACCGACCCCTCCTGCCTTTCAGAGCTGAAAGAAGGGCTGACTCGCATGAGCGTGGACCTGAAGAACAACTTGCTGGGGTCCCTGCGGGTAGCCTGGCAGTCCTTCACTCGAGCCCCGCTGCCAGCTGTGGAGGCGGCGAGTACCGACGCCGAAGCAGAGGCAGAGGCCAGCGTGGAGAAGCAGCCAGGTCAGTGGTGCACAGGGGGTGGTGGGGAGACGGGGGTGCAGCATCACGACCTGCCCACGGAGCAGTGCGCAGCCACGCCAGTGAGGTGCCCGTCCTGGCGTCAAACCCAGGCGCTGCCTCTTCTGTGCTCAGCAAAAGGATTGCCTTTGAGCTGCGGATGTGCTTCGCTCTCCAAATGCTGTGGCCTTCCCCCGTTACTGCCTGATGAAGGGGGAGAAGAGGCAACCTGCCCGGTCAGTAAAGGCCTCCTGGGGGTCTCAGCACACCCACGCCACTTTGTAAGCCTGTGAAGCCTGTCCCCCCTTGTCTAGCTGTGTCTTGCAATGCTGTTTTCCAAAAGCTGGAGAACCCTGAGGGGGAAGGACCCAGCACTTAAGCTGCCTCTCCTCTGCAAGAGCCCATAGTAGGGCAAAGGGAGGGCACGGTGATGCTGTTGTATTTCCATGGCTGTGGGTGCGCCTTGGCTTAACCACATTGCTCTTCTTCATTCCTTCAGACACAAAGCCAGACGAGACCCCCCCAGCAGTGAAGGAAGAGGCCCCCCTCATTAATGTGGGGAGGCTGAATGGAGGGAATCGCATAGACTACGTGCTGCAGGAGAAGCCAATAGAGAGCTTTAACGAGTATTTATTTGCACTACAAGGGCATCTCTGCTATTGGTAAGATTCTGCGTAACTGTCAAAGCTTCAAATTCATGTCTGATGTAAGCAGAATGCCATCATTTTTAAAGTCAACGTAGTAAGAAAAGCCTTAACTGAGTAAACAAGATACGCTCCTGCCTATAGCACAGACACAGAGGGTGGGTAGGGACAGAGGAAGGAGCCTGGTGTAGTTCTCCTTGCCTAGTACTGCCTGCATTTGCTGAGCGCTGTGTCTACCCCATAACCATCACAGATGTCCTGACAGAGTGGAGGGAAGTGTCCCTCTCTAATTCCCATGTCCTTCTCCTCCAGGGAGTCAGAAGACACCGTTCTGCTGGTTCTAAAGGAGATCTACCAGACACAAGGCATTACACTGGATCAACCTTTGCCAGGAAGCCAGTGACCAACCTGTACTGTTCTGGCTGCTTGAGGTAAGTCACCTTGCCTACACCTTCCTTCCAAATTTCCTAGGACACCTCAGAGGACATCTGGTCCGTCTGAGGGAATAATACTGCTTATTTACAGCTGTGTCTAAGGCAGGAGTTTGTGTTGGGTTTTTTCTTTGGCCTGTCAGCATGTTTGGCTTCTTTCCTCTCATCCTGCACACAAGCGCTATTGGACACGACGAGAGCCAGTAAACTGCTGCTGAAGATAAAGGCAGCAGCAACTGCGCGCGGTTACAATCAGTTCAGCCCACCAAGGGAACGACCAGACGCATGGCCGTAATCCAAGCCTCCCGAGCTAAACAATTCTTACAGACAGGTCGCGAACCAGAGCGTGGGCCCTGCGGTTCTTGCAGGGGTGCTTTCACCCTCTGCTGCTAATTGCTGGCCAAGAGTAGACTAGGGGCAAGGCACATCCTTAGGTTTTCTTGCCCTCGAAGCCTCATGCTGGTCATTTGCTGGGTACAGGAGGCTGGGCTGGGTAGATTTTGGTCTGCCCTAGTGCAGCTATTCCTATGTTCTCCTTTTGCTTTCTTAGATCCAATTCAACTGAGTACTCACCAGGAAAGTCCAGATTTCTTCTCTGCCTTCCTCTCTCCTCTGCTGCCGTGTCCCGCATGCTGCTTCCCAAGTACTTGCTGCTACCTGGAGATAAGGATGATTTTCCTCCATTTTGGGTAGGGGTGGGGGGAAAATATATCAAAGGAAAACACTTCTGCTCAAACACTCACAGCACTTGCACTGTGACTCCCTGTGGCAACATGTACTTTTAACCCTCCACCTTGTAAGTTATCACACTAGCTCCTCTAGACTAGCTGTCTGGGCTAGGAACCGACACTGAGGGCCTGACTCCGCTCCTGGCTTAGCGAGGAAACTCACAGCTTGTGACCTTGAGGAATAAAAGCCTTAAACACGCAGCGTGGAGAGAGCTATAGCAGCCCTGTCGAGCAAAGGAGATCGCGGACTTCTCCCTGCCGTAACACAGAGCACCAGGCGCAAGGACTGCGGTCTTTGGAGGTGAAGCCCAGGGCACAGGCGTCTGCTGTTAGGTGAGCAGGAATGTGTCTACCAGCCACTCTCATCTCCTTCAATTGCTGCTGCATGGTTTGTGCACTTGTGGGCTCTGCCAGGCAGGACTGCCCCATAAAACGACTCGTGAGAGCAGCATGTTTGCGCACAGTTGACCCAGGCACTCCTGCCTGCTGTAATGTGTTGGTAGTGACTTCTCAGCATCCTCACCCAGCCCATGGCAGCCAGCAAACCAAGGGCCTCCCTGAGGCACTGCCTGCATCTTGTGCAGGACCAAGCTAGTGGCCAGGTGTAACTATATGGGAGGGAAGCTCAAACTACAGCTAGACTGGGGGAAAGCAGCTGCTCCTCAGCAGCGTCCAGGCAATTCGGAGGCCTGGAGGGACAGCCATCCTGTGCTTTGCAGGGGCATGGAGCAATGCTACTGTCCTGCTGCAATGTGGCTTTCAGGGTGGCTACAGGGATCTCACGCCAGCCAGGCTCCAGTCGTTGTTTTTGGTTTTAAGTACACAAAATGCAGCCAGCGAAGTCGGAACCCAGATCAGTAGGGTCTGGACACCGTGTCCCAATGACCCGACTGACAAAAGGACACCAGCTCTGCAGGCAGTTCAGTCTGGAGCTGCCTGTGGCCTGCTAGCTCTGCTCCAAAGGGAACAGGGCCAGAGATCCTCTGGCGATTCCCCCCTTGCAACCAAAACCAACCAGACTGACTCAGTGGCTGGGCTGAGGCAGACGCTTCAGTGATGTGTAAGGTCGTTGCTGTGACAGCCTTTGGAAGAGCCAAACCACTTTCCCTCCTGCTAAGTTTTGCCCTGCATGGGGTAAGGAGCCTTTTTTCCACAGCCTGTTTGTTTGTCCTCTGTTGTACTACATTATTTGCACTATTTGAAAGGTTTGGTTTGCAGCCTACATCCCTCCTCCCATCCCAAAGGAACACAAGCTGTTCTTTTACCTGACTGCAGAAACAGACATGCTGCTCAGTCGGCGCCTGAACTACTGATTGCTAAAGCGTCTCCTACAAGAGTAGGAAAAGGAACAGTCTTAACACAGGACACTCTCATGATCAGCTTTTTAAGTTATGCACTTTGTAAAAAAAAAAAAGTTAAATACATTTTAAATGTTATTTAATGTCTTTTCCAGTAAAAGCCAAAATAAATAAGTAGATGACTGTGGTGTGTGCATGTTTGGGGGGAGAGGAAGGGGAGGGGGTTGAATAATTCACGTGTGCATAATTTTAGGGGAAAGTAAAGCTATTTCTGTAACTTCTACTGAAGTTGCAGGATCATAGAGGGCTTACGTGGCCCAAACGGAAGATTATGGTATGGCATTTTCATTACTGTCATGTCCTGAGCTTGGCAGAGGCACACGTGCCTTCCTCTGCTACAGCCTCACATTTGCTGTTTGCATGTACATACACTTGATCAAGAATACACATATTTACGGAGGAGACCAGTGACAAATAACTACTTACAGCAGTCCTGCCATACAGCTATGCCTTGGATTTCTCAGCAGCACTCTACCCTTCCATTCTCTGACAAAACAAACCATGGTGTAGAGAAACAAGCACCTCTGAAGGGATGCTTTCAGACACCATTTCATTTTCTGCTGATTGTCATCTCTTTACAACTGTATTAAAGCTGCAAGGGAAGAGACAGAAGATGAACACTCATCTAGAAACCCCTGCAGACACACCAACGGAAATGGTTTATACAGCAATAAACCCACTTCTTGAAGTAAAGCCTTTAGTACCACAGTTCATTAAAAAAAATAAACTCCTTTATTTGGCAACTTAGAAAAAATCAGGGCTAGCACAGTAACGCAAATAACGATCATACTAGTTTCATCTTCCCTCTCCCCCACTCAATCCACGGTTAAAGACTGCAACTTCGCACTCATTACTCCAAATTAGCTCAGCTGTAATTGAAAAGACAGACTTAAACCCGGTGCCAGGAGCAGGTCCTACACTTCATTTCGACATATGCTTCCCAGGAGAAGGGATGGAACAGCTCGGCTGGATTGAAGGGAGATGACTGATGGTGCTTTCTTGACTGGACACAAGAACACCCACTGGATGGGGCACGCCAAATTGTCATTTTTTATCAGTTCTTGCTTCAGCAACTTTTGTAACCGGGCTGTCCTCCCACAGGCTTGCATGCCGACTGCCTCGCTTGCTTCACAGCAGGCCCAAAGGGAGGGACACCTACAAAATTTGGTTAATGAAGCAAAACAGGCCCCTGAGCAGGACAACTTACCAGCACCACAGAGGATGCCTGCTTGGGTTTCAGGTTCATCCTCATTTGAGCCACTTCTTGCAGTCCACGACCAACTCCCCTAAAGCCTTCCCCTGCCCTAGCACTGAAGGAACAGCAGGAGAGGTGCCGGCAGCACAGAGCCCGTCGCTATATATCTAGGTGAAAGCTGGAAGCTGCAGGCTTTTCTTGGTGTGCTGGCAGTTGTTTGGATTTGTACAGAAATGGTTTGTGGCACATAGAGTCCATCAGAGGAGGGTAATACTGCCTGTAGCAGAGGTACGCAAGCACGAAGCCGATCACTGAGCCAACCAACACATCTGTGGGCAAGACCAGAGGAGAGTTAACTTCCCCTTACCTTCCCAAGCCTCATGATTGAACTCTCCAGCAGGCAGCTTTTCAGCCTGCTCAGAGCTGAGCTGGATCAGCGACTTGACCCTTGGCTATAAAACTAAGCTTGGCATACATTTCAAAAACAAAGAAAAAGGCATTATCACCTTGCAGGCAGCAAAAAAATTACTACCAGAGGAGTAAACAAAAAAACCGAAGTTGCCATCATGGGATCTGAACACCTCTGTGGCACCGCGGACGCCCCCCACGCTCAGAGTGCCCCCCCTCAGGGCACCTGGTTGTGCCCCCCGTCCAAGTCTGCAGGCAGACACCGACCCACCTTGCCAGTGGTGCTTGTAGTCACAGGTGCGGGACACAGCGATGAGGGTGGCGAGGAACAGCGGGAGAAGGAAGGCACAGAGCCGCAGAGCCCTGCCTCCCCGGCTGGGAGCAAAGCAGCGCAGCTTCCCGGCTATGTAGAAGGCAGAGAAGGCAAGACCAGTGAAGGCAACTGAAAGAGAAGCATGTCGCTTCAGAAACAGCTCCAGGCTCTGCTGTGGGCCCTCAGCCAGACCTTCACCTTTTCCCCTGCTGGGGTGGAAGGGCTGCAAAAGGATGTCTGTCCTGCCCACGCAAACCAAGGGAAGCACCAGCTCATGAACGATGGAGGAGCCACAGATGCTGGTACTTGGCAAGCATCCCTCCTCCCAGGAGCTACAGCCAGCTTCAGATTACATTTGTCACCCCATTGCTTTGCAGAGGGAAAGTTGAGACCCCCAAACAGACCAATGAATGTGGACAAAGCCACGGGGTGCGTGAAAGCAAACCCAAGCTGCCCTCCCCACGGGCATCTACTCACCATGGTTTGCTGTCTGGGGCTGCAGCAGGTAGGGGACACGGAAAACTTACACGAAGCGTGTCCGCTGGGGAAACTTTTGCGTCCCTCAGTCACTATGCCAGGGTCGCCTGTGCACACCAGCTCTGCGTTCGCTCGTCCGTCGGGGAAGCATCGATAGAAGAAGTCCGGCCGTGGCCTAGGGCAGAGAACAAGGCACGTAGCCCTCAAGCGTGCAGCGATCTGAGCACCCAGCCCTCCCACGGAGCACCCACATACGAATGCGGTTGCCAGCTACCTCGCACAGCTCCCCCCGTTGTGCAAAGGGAAGGCGGTGTGACCCAGGCTGTGAGAAATGCAAAACTGAGCATCGCACCCAGCTCCGCTCCTGCCTGGGCAGGCAGGGCTCAGCAGACGAGAGCCAGGCTGCAGCAGCACACCCTCACTGGCCCACCACTACTTGGCAAGACCCGGTTTAGACCCTGAGGATTAGCACTCTGCTGATCCTCCCCATCCAGCCCAGCAGAGCAAATACCTTACAAGAACCAAATGCCCATACGGCCTTAATATGCCTCGGTTGCACAGCCTGCGGGCACACCGGAGCAAACCTCTCAGGCTGTGGCTCAGCACAGGTAACTTTTTGCCACCCTGACCACCCGGCCCGGGGAGATGAAACCATCCCATCCGCTCCCTGTACGTGTGCCAAAGCGCTCCTCCCTGGTGCTGGCCTGAATGAGCCCATCTAAATGATGCCCGGAGACAGCAGGTCCCCGCCAGTGCTTGTTCTAATATTTAATTGTCTTTATAACTAGAAAAAACACCTTCTTTCTAGGCTGAGCATGTCTAACTACAGCTTCTGGCCCTTGCTCCTGCTGCTGTAGCTCTGCCACTGCGCAGCCGTGCCTCCCCTCCCCGCATGGCGCAGCTAGGAAGGAGCCAGTTTCTCACCTCCCCACAATGAGCTTCAAGGCATTTGTGAAAACCCCGTTCAGGGCAAGAGCAAGGCTGGCAGCTAGGAGAGAGCAGAGAGGTCATGTCAGCATTGCCCTCACCTGAATGTGCAGCTTCGAGGCACATTCAGGCACGGGCAGTGCTCAAACTTCAGCTGGAGCCACACAGCTCGGCTTTGATACCCCTGGCACAACACTTGTGCCCCAGCAAGAGCAAAGGACTCAGATTCTGTGAGACTCCTGGCTCACAGCCACAGCATCAGGGCAGACCTCTCAGGGGGCTGCAGCTCTCTGGGACAAGGAGGAGCTCACCTAGGCAGGCTTCCCGTGTGTCTTCTTGGTCGGCATTCATGAACACCCTTGCCAGGACAATGAGCAATAAGGGAGACAGAAACGCGATGAACTGTCACAAAACGAGAAGATTGTTAGGCATCTGTTAGCAAAGCAGATTTAAGCGCTCTCATCAGAACACAACAGCAGCTGCTCAGGAAGACTATACACTTTCCTTTGCCAAAGCCAAGCAAAAGCCTGTCCTCTCCGCACACAATTACATTTCTATCAGAAAGCAAACCCAACCCCAGCTGCAGTCACAGCAAGCCCTGAGTAACCCTGTGCTCCCCAGAGCACAGCCATTCCTCCTGTCTGTCGTCCAACAGCAGTGCCTCATGTACAAAAGCCCACGGGCTGCTGGACGTTGCCTGTGCCGAAACACGAGAAAAAAAATACCCCAAGCAGCATAAACAACGCAGTGCACTAAAAAGCCCCTCTCTGCATCCCACTCCTTCCTGTGCTTGACCCACTCAGTGCACACACTCAGCAGAGCAGCGGAGCCTTCTCTCCTCCGAGGAAAGCCCAGCATGTCCTCAAGCTCTCCCTTCACAGTATCAGCCGCAGCACCTCAACTCTCCCCATCCCCGCAAGCACAAGGATTAGTTCTTTGTCAGCAGCACCCAAGCTGCTCGTCAGCAAAAAATACAGGAGCTGCTGATTCAGAGAAAACCAGTTACCATTCACATCACCTCAGCGGCGACTGCCACTGCGGGATTTCACCCCGGGGACGTCCACGGTGTGTCTGACAGGCTCCCAAGGAGCCTGCTACCACCTGAAGTCTGGCATATGTCATGCTTTACACCGCCAAATCCAAACGCCACACCAAGGTTTTGTCCTTTAACGTTTAGTGCCCACCTCTTGCGGAAAATCACAAGTGCTATTTACTAAGGAAGTGGTTGTCTTGCCCAACCCAGGAGCCACAGCATCTCACCGAAGCACCGCTGCTTCAGGGGAAGAGACAACCCCTTTAATGGACTATTGTCTACTTGAAATCTGCCACTTATTGTTTTATATTAAACCCTTTTAACAGAGCCTAGAGACCTAGGGAAAACATTTTTGCAATAAAACGATAACAAAACTTTGCTGAAAACAGCTGCTTTCAAGCAAAATGCTCCCTGACAGTGAAAGATACGCTGTAGTCCATGATCACAGTAATCTGGATCTGAATTTTATCACGAACAACAGCGAAAAGTCCTCACAAGTTTTTATAAACTTAGTTACGATCCCAAAGACAACCCCGGATGGTAAAGCCTAAAAAAATGATACAAATTGACTGGGAACGTTATCTTGTTTGCAGCAATACATCGCACTTTCGGTAACATGTATTGCAAATGCCTGTAGCTCTTAATGCAAGTCTTCTAGCCAGCAGCTTTGCTTTAAAAGGCCGGTTTATAATTAGAGAAACAGGTAAATGCAGGAAACCGCTGAACTTACAAACATGGGTACCGTGGGTACGTGGTCCACTTCTACGTACGGGTTTTTGTAGAGCCACATCTCTTCAGGCTGCACCACTCGCTGGAACGGAGGCAGAAACTCCATGACCCTGGAGGGGAAAAACAAAAAGCAAAAAAACCCACGCATTTTGGGGGCAGGCAGCACCGGCAACGGGTGAGAGCCGGGCCGGGCGGCAGCTCTGCCCCCTCCCACCGCA